AAAAAATCGCTCACAAATCAAATTCCGATCAAAGTGGATTATTTAACGACCGTTGGTCATCATGCAACATTATTCTCTGGAGTGCCACTATTCATAATTTCTAGCCGCATGGAATATTTCTGCTAAGCTTCCATATTTCAAAAAATGCCAAGTAACGAATTTAAAACTGATAACTCCCTGCTCCCTGTCTTTGCATGAAGAGTTTGTCTTGGTGTAGAGGTGAACTCTCAGGATAGCGTGGAATATCCCCTCCATTACAGCCTCAACTTTGAGAGCTTTTTTTGAGCTTGGGAGTTGATTTCAGAGAAAACCAGTGGCACCATCATGTTTCTCGCGAACTTTTACATAAGAATCAATAGTCAAATTGCAAATTCCTCACACATGCAACATCTCCATTATCGATAGGTAAGAAACAATATCGTTCATCTGCAAAGCGACGGTTTTACAGAATGAAGGGGGTAAAAAAAAACATTTTTGTTAATGATGAGGTTATAGGTTTGCAAAAGTTGTATGAATCACAGTATCATTACGGAGCTTTCACACGGAAATAGAAAATATTACAACATCAGCTTGCATCATACAGCATCGTATTTTATACTGTAGAATGAGGGAGGGTTGCCAACTAATGTTCATCAAATCGTCGATCGAGCTGTGTTGTTCCTCGGCCCTCGTTATCTGTAAATTTTAAGAGAAAATATTCATAACTCTCCTTGGAAATGGACATATCATTGGAGGAAATTTGGCAACTCTTGGATGTGTATACGACGTTTTTCCTTCGCAAAGTAGTATCATGATCGGTACTCCGTACAAGGAGCGGACACAATGGGTCATTTTCACGCTCAAATTTCGCCATCAGATCCAAAAGCTCCTTCGGCCGGGGATCCACGCGGAATAAATTGCCGGCAATCACAGGCGTAATGACACCACCTGAAACAACCCGGACAAAACGACTTGACTCCGTTCTCTCAAAAGCCCCAGAAAGCACGGAGTTATACGAATTGTCTCGATGTGCAATTACGCCTTTACGTCTTAGGGCCGGACGATTGCCACTGCCCGATGCTGCAATAAAAACCGCCGCTCAAAACCAGAACGAGAGGGTCGTGCAGATGTTGGTGCCGATAGCGAAACTTGCATTTTGACATCCGAGTTAACTCGCCGTCAAATGCGAGGGGGTGATTGGTGAAGGGGGGGTGGGGGTTCTTCCTGGTCCGAGGGTATCGAGGTACTTGCGATTGACGGTATTATTGACCTGCTTCCGTTTTCTTTGTTGTCGTTTCGGGAGTGACCATAAAAGGGGAGAGGATAGTATCTGACCTAAGTGGAAAATTGTATTACTTTTGAAAGTTCACGAGAGCACTCCGGAGATCAAAATTACTCGGTAAACATTGTTGCGGTAGTGTCCGTACCCTCAATAACTCAGCAGCTGAAACCGAAATTCTCGTTTCTAGGCATCAAAATTTGGGGGAAAATACCGGAAGTTTGGAATAGTAATCCAAGTTTTTGACAGGGTTACTACATTTCGGCCGCTGGGATTGGAAATTGTAGCTTAACGTGCAAGCTTTTCAGAATTCCTAAAGATGCCTACTTTTCACCTGTGGGCTGGGCCAGAGGATCAATTTCCTCAACGAGCAATTTTAGAACTTGAAAGCATTGGCCTACATAATTGTTAGGGAGATGTTGCTCCTTGAAGTTTCACACTTGTCATTAAAATACCTACATGTAATTTTATCAATTCAGTCAATTTTAAGTAAGTAAGGGAAGGAAGAAAGTCATCCAGCTTGACCATCCCCCAGGATATTGTATAGTAATAGCGCTTCTTGAACGAAACATGGGAAAAATACACCTATGGTTTTAAACAAGGCTAGTCGATATTTACCTCTCGCCTGAAACAGATCCCTAGTGTGATTGCCAATGTCGAGAACAATCAAAGTGTTTAAATTTTTCTCTTTTAAGTCACAATTATAATACTCCTAGAAGAATCTGTGACAAGGCATTTCTGCTCGATTCTTTTCCGACAAAATTCGACGTTTTAGAATTCTGATAGAATCCGTCACTTCGTGCTCTTCTGTTGTTCGATTTTTTGGAGGGTTCGCAAGGAGGGCCTTCTGACAAAAATCTGAAACGATGGGTGATTTTTAACAAACTCAATTACCTTGATATAAATGTGACCATATTGAAAATTTACATTGTAAGTAGCCAAGATTTATAGCGTTTTTAGGATGAAACTTATCTTTATGGATAAATCAATAGAGGATATTTTGTTTCTGAAATAATTCGAAAAAGTTGTTTTTATTATAGACGCTGTCTAAATAATTGTCACCCGTCATTATCATTTAAATGACACCTCTCATATTCTCTTTCACATAGGATTTTTCAACTTTTTCCTGCTCTTTGGCGAAAAAAAAAAGTTTCTTAAAGAGAGTTGACTAATTAGAGATTTTCCCGTCAAGTAACAGATGGATAAGAAAACATGACATCAGATAAAGCGATTTCAGGAAAAATTTCGTGCAACAATTTAGAGATCCTGTTGGAAACCGATGAAATGACTAATTATTCGTTGTTTTAAGAATGTGGCCGGGTTACTCTTAAAGAAATTCCTAACTCGGAACAGTTGATGAATTTACTGAAAGAGTGAAAACATGCATTGTGTCACGCTTGAGCGTCACAGTTCTATGGGTCAACGGACCCTTAACTAGTTTTTCTTTCGAGATGAAGACGAGGATATTAATCATATAAATCTTTTCTTTTGAATTTTTATCATAGAAGTCTTCAAGTCTCTTTAGGTGTTGAAGCCTTTGAGATAAATTTTCAGTTTTTGAATTTAAAAATAAAGGGCCTAATTCGTCGCTTCCGGGACGAAGGAACGTAACTTAATTCCAAGGTTGCAAAACTGACCTCAATAACTCGATTCTTTACGAGAATATACGTGTGCAAGTTTTTTCTAACATTTTTCCAATTTTTGCTTGAGCTCAGGAGAAAAGTCACTAAGTCATTTCACTAAATGTTCAATTGAAAATGCCTAGGACTCTTTTAGTACAAAAGCAATTTCTTAGGGAGAATTTGACAACATTGAAACGTTGTTACGTTCTTTCTTGAGGTTATCGAAGAGTTGGACCGATTTTAACAGAGAACCACCAAGTTGCATCAAGTTTTGATTCTTCTTTTAAAAAGTCAGAGGTCCCACCTTCCCAATAAGCCTCTCTTTTGGGAAGAACGAAATTCCAAACAAGTAGAGTGTCTCACGGCAGGTTTATACGGAGAGTGTCTCACAAATTACTACTTCCGTTACAATTACCAAATGGTCACTTAGATGGTCACATTGTTCACGGAACCGTCAAATAATGTGTGCACACTGCAACGAACCGCTATAGCGGTCTCGGGGGAAACATCGTATGCACATTAGGACGTTGTCAAATTTCCTCCCTAGAACGGAACTTTTTCTCGACACTACATTTTTTTGACTGCAAACATCAGAGCACCATACTGCCGTGCTAGGGGAAAACGCCGTATGAACCTTTAGAAGTTGCCAGAATTAATTTGATAATTCACAAATTTCCCGGTTAACCTATATGAATATTTTCTTCCAATTTGTTTTAGATAATATATATAGAAGTCGCTTTTATAGCGCTCTTTGGCGCTTTCCGATGCCTAATCGCCACAAAACTCGGTCTTCTCACAGGTCATCATGGAGTTGACACTCCCTCATCTCATTCAACACCCCCTGTCGCCAACCTCTCACTGGGCGTTCCCTACGTCTCCTCCCAGGAGGAACTTTTTTAGATAATACTGTTCGCAATTTCACCTAAAGTTCTTGAAAATTTCAATGGAAGAAATTCATAACTTTCCTCAAAAACAAACATTTTTTGATGGAAATGTGGCAACTCTCAAATGTTCATAAGGCGTTTTTCCGTAGCACGGCAGCATACTAACTAAACTAGTGTAAACTTTCTGTCCATTATGATTACATCGGTGTAAAGAAATACCTCGGAAAAGGACGTTTCAAAATAGGCAGGCGGCATCATTGCATCTCTCCCGGCGGCGGTGCTCGAGGAAGGACCCTGAAGGAGAAGACGCTTCAAAAATTACCGCACCGATTTTCACGCTGCACGAACGCCGCGCGCCGCGCTTGGAAAAAGCCGAGCACCGTTCATAAATCAAGTGCACTGATTACCCACATCCGAGCAAACAAGAACTGTTAATTCATTTTCCAGCCGTAAAATAATAGCCTTGCGCCGGGCTGCGGAACGGACACCTCCGTAAAACCGCACAACTTCAGCCGTGGACCTCGTGCACTTACGCGGTTTGCTATCGGCGAGGCGGAATGTAGGTTGGATGAGACGTTGAGACGCCATTAATAGCGCCGATTTTATGGACAGTCCGCACGATTTGTTTCGGGGATCTTTATTTATGACGTCATCGCCTCTGCCGATATTGTTCCCGCCGATCGGCGATTTCTATGCTCGTCTCGTTGATGCGGCTCTGAGTCGATCCGTGGAAACGGTTCTTTCTTTCCAGCTCCGAATTGGCCTAGTTTTTGGCCCCGAGGAAAGGTTCATGCTTCTTGCCATTTATTTTGGAGGTAAAAATACATTAAAATCTGATTTTAAAAATTCAGTTCTTGATTAAAATTGATAATTTTTTTAGAATCGTTGGAAAAAGAGATAAGAGCTACACTGGAAAAAAACACATTGGATCTAGAGTCCAGACTCTTAAAAACATCGACAAGAAAAAATACTCTTGATGCAATCAGCTTAAATCAAGAACCAATCCTCTTAATGTGAGCTGATTTCGTTTTGATTCAAGCAAAAATCTGATTGAATCAAGAGTCCTTTTCCTTGTCAATGGTTTCAAGAGTCTGGACTCTAGATCCAATGTGTTTTTTCCCCAGTGTGCTTGATTTCATTGATGTTTTAGATAAATGTCACTGTTTACGAGGCGGCTGCTACTAAATCCATATAAGTAGTATAAATGAGTATAAATGAGTGTAAATGAGCACTCACCGCTAAGTCCAGGGGTGCCAACCACGACGAACGCTAATGTCAGCAATTCTAGCGCCACATGAACACCGGTTGACATGACCTGCAAGTTTAAAAATACTTTCATGAGTATGTAGGAATCATGAAACTCTTTCGAAGTTCAACCCAAAATATTCGTAGGACAGCGCATGCTCTGGTAGGTATCAGCATCAGCTAGTGACTCCGTTTTGAGTATTTACGAACTAAGGCTCCTTTTCGTGTATGTCGACGGTGAAACTGCAAAAATGCGTATCTAGGTTGCGGCGTTTCAAAACCTTCATACCCTTTAGATTTAATTTCTTAAAAGGAGACGAATCAGAAACGTAGCTTAAAAGTTTCAACGGCTGTTAAACACATTCAGAGGAAAAATTACCGAAGTTTCCAAGAAATAACGTGGACACTTTCCGATGTGCTAAATAAAGGCCAAATCTGCAGGTCAGATTTACGTACTTTTCTACCCATGCGTTTAAGTCTCCGAAAAGGAGCATTTTCAACACTGTCTTTGATTGTGGCGTAGGATGATAGAATCATTGTTTATTGAGTAAATGACAACAGATATTCTGCAACGATACAAAGCGAGATACTCGTTTTTGCAGTTTTGCATTCGATGTACAATTTTTGCACATACAATCATACATATACCGCTCTTATCCATACAGTGGCGATTTTTGGAAGTTGACAACACTGTTTTTCCTCCATTTAGATGTCAGTAAAACAATTGATTCTTGGTGAGACAGCTTGCCTCACCTAAATCGATACTTTTAATGAAATTATATGGAAGAACAACAGTGCTGCCAACTTGCAAAATCGCCACTATCTATACTGCCGTGCTAACGAAGAACACTGTATGGGCCCTCCATGAGTTGATTATAAGGTTGCCATGTTTCATGCCGTAAAAAACCAATTTACTGAAAAAATTTTGAATATTTTTCTTCAGCTTTTCTCGATTTTGTTCGTGATTCATTCCAAACTAACTGAAAATGTTAAGGAAAAAAAGGCTAACTTTCCTCAAAAATACATGTTTTATACGGAGAAATAGAACAACTTTCGAACAAATATCCGGTATTTTTCCTTGGCACGGCAGCACTGACGCTCCAAGTAAAAGCGCCGTATCTCTATTTAATTTCTTTCCAATTTTCCCCGACAAATGCTGTTCTACAGAAAAACCGCAACAACTTTTCAACCTTCATTTTTTCAATACAACTCCGCCACACCATTAGGAACTAAAAATGAAAAAAATGAAGTCTCGTGGCAATTGAATTTTCTAGTAATAGAACAGTACACGCTGAATAAAAGAATACGTGGAGTTACGGCGTTTTTGCTGTTGACGAAAGCAGTGGCGTGGCGTGCTTTGCGATATATCGATCTTTATGTCATTTAAACACATGGTAAAGAATCGATTATCAAGGTGTTCGCTGCGAACACCCTGTTTATCGATCCTTTTCTACAGGTTTAAATGGCATAACAATCGATATATCGTAAAGCACGCCGCGCCACTGGACGGCAGAGCACAGCACAGTAGCATTGCCATGATGTGAAAAAAAAAAAAAACAAAGGAAAAATGGAATTAATCGATCGACTTCTACATTAGACACCAAGTGCAAAGAGCGTATGCTGCATGTAAAGAACTCAGGGAGGTATCATGAGAAAAACGGTCCTCGCCTTTTGCCGTTCCATCAGTGAACGTCCGTGGCGACGCGGCGACTCAACGCTACACTCTGCGCCCAGATTTCCCCCAAGTTACTCTGTAAACGGCCTCTATGATCTACTCGACGGCGGTGTCGGGCCTACCGGTAAATTCGAACGGTACGCACCGCGCTACGTAGCGCAGCGCGGCCGCCCGTAATGAAAAGAGCAGCGGTCTCTGAAATACGGGCCCGTGTAAAGTGTAAACACACAATAAAACATGCGCCGCGTTTCGCTGTATCGATTCCTCCTCGCTCCGAATGGAAATCGGACGAGTGTGAGCCGCGCCACTGCGGCGACGCGACGCGATCTGGCGGAGGATGCGCTAACTTCGTTGCCAGCATTCCGTGGAAATGTTCACGAAAAAAATTATGATGGATGGAAATCACGAACAAATTTGTTGTTGAGAAAATGTCGTCACCCTCCGGCCAAAGTATCACAAGCACTGGAAAAAAAAAAAAAAAAAAAAAAAAAAAAAAAAAACATTGGATCTTGAATCCAGACTCTTAAGAACATCGACAAGAAAAAGTACTCTCGATTCAATCAGAATCTAGCTTAAATCAAGAACCAAGCCTCTTAATTTAAGCGAATTTCGTTTTTGATCCAAGCAAAAATCCGATTGAATCAAGAGTGTTTTTTCTTGTCAATGTTTTCAAGAGTCTGGACTCTAGATCTGATGTGTTTTTTTTTTCCAGTGAGTGCCATGCGACGTGTAAATTTCCGCCGCCATTTTATTTTTTTAATGAGAAATTGTTCAACAAAGCTGTCCGAAAATTGCAATGAATTTTCTTCGTACTGCCGATGAAATTCGGTGAAATTTTCAAACGGATTCAACAAACAATTTCTCTGTAACAAAGTGACAAGACTATAGGTAAAGAGGACGAACTAATCGGCGTATGCAAAAACGTCCGATGTCCTCCGCAGTGTTTCAGAATTTGAGTAGACGATTTCGCTGTAACTTAAAGGTACATGATGGTTTATGACGTTAGGAATGTACAACAATTTTATGAATAATCCCGTAAGTATAATTAAACGTTTACAGCAGAGATTTATTTCATTCGTCAGCGTCGTGGGGCGAAAGAAACCATTGCAACTATGAAACCCTGGCTGTACTGTGCGACGGACGTTTTCGCATGAGTCGATTCAAATGGAAAATGGAGCGACCTTGTTGTTTGAAACGGATGATAGTTAGACACAGACGGGGAAACGATGGACTAACTACAGAGTCCCTCTTGGGTTGTCGTTAGTCAGTCTATTGCGTATGCGCTTTGTCCATTCTAAACTAACGTTGCCACCGAAGGGATCACTGAAAAAAATAATGTGCTATTTTAGCACCTAGATTGTCAAAAATGTGTCTCCCAAGATACTGCCTATACTGCTCCCGCGGTTAACTTTACATCCTGTGAATGCAAATCAACTGCATGAGCAATCATGGCAGCATCTTAAGATCACCAGACTCATTTTTGACATCCTAGGTGCTAAAACGGCATACAATTTTTTTCAGTGATAGCTCCATTTCCCCTTTGTATTCTTTGTCCAAAGTTTTGTCGATCAATTTCAATAATCATCCCTCTACACTCTTTTCTAGCTACGCCTTTGTGGGTAAATTAGGAAATTATACGTAAACCGACCGGTCGATCGGACCAAATCTGCAGGGTGTTCTTGCTTACTTTCCTACCCATGCGTTTAAGTTTCCAAAGAGGAGCATTTTGAGTTTGGTTCCAGGCCGTGTCAACGGATCGAAAAATCAGTGTTTGGTATTTGAAACCTATAGATGAGCACAAATGAATAAACCATTTTAAATTTCGAGTTTCACATTTAATATCAAAGAATTGTTTTAAAATATTTGACATGGAGACATTCACCGTCGTAAATTGCTTTCTTTGATCTCCCTATCACCTTGAATCAATGATATACGTGAATCAGCCAATTGGAAAGTGTTTTTTCTTGAAATTGGTGACATCATAATGTTGTAGAGTTAAGGGGTCCCGTTGGAGGAAGCGGGTGGTTGCAATGGACAGAAGAAATATAGGAAATAGACAACTCACGAAAGACCCTATGGAAGTCCATCATTGTCTCTCTTACACTGGAAAAAAACCACATTGGCTTTAGAGTCCAGACTCTTGAAAACATTGACAAGAAAAAAACTCTTGATTCAATCGGATTTTTGCTTGAATCAAAACGAAATCCGCTCAAATTAAGAGGCTTGGTTCTTGATTTAAGCTAGACTCTGATTAAATCAAGAGTACTTTCTCTTGTCGATGTTTTTAAGAATCTGGACTTTAGATCCAATGTGTTTTTTTTTCCAGTGTAGTCCATACGAACCAACAATTTCAACCAATAGGATCGTTCAATACTCCCTATTTTTTCTTCAATTTCAATAATCAGACCGCAGCAGGCTGATTATTTATTTTGATAGACAAAACTTTAGACAAAGAAGACAAAAGGCTGCGCTCGTTCACAATTTTAGCCTCGTCATGTTCATTTTTTTATGCAGTTTTCCTGTATTGTTGAATTCATCTTGTGTGTTGTGTTTCTCTTATCACAATGTCAAGGAGCCGGCGTGAAACCAGTTGGCAGCGATGGAGCGAGGCATTCGGAGGGCTGGAGTGTAACCGTCTTTAATCCCAGTCTGCGCCGCGTCTGAACCGATTAACGAGGATAAGGTCGACCAACAAAGTGGGGTCGTTAGAGCATGAGCGAAAAAAGGGGGAAAAGCAACAAAGAAAGAAAAAACACGTCTGCTCACGGCGTGTAAAGGAGAAAAACGAGAGGAAGTCGCGGCGGGAGCGGGGAGGGGGAGGGGGTGGGGAGGGGAGGGGGGAGAAAACCAACTGGGATGCACCGTATGTTTCTGTCAGTGACCTCTCGCGGAATCCATAAAGCGAGCCGCCTGCCACTACATCTTCGCGTAGTACCAATAACTCGTCAAAATCGAGCATTTATCAGTTTACTGAACCCGCGTCCGCCGTCCGACGGCGCTTAGGGTCGATACCGATCGAACGCTGCCTTTGAGGCAGATTTAAGGATTCTGCCCCGGGCCACTCTACTCTTCCGAGGAGGAACGTCCAATGAACCTTCTGCAGTTGCGAGATTTCTTTTGCCAAGTGCAAGTTTCCTGAAAATGTTTAACGGCTGAAACTGTCAAATATTTGTATGCGGCTCCAGGAGAGACGAATAGGGCGTAACCACCCCCTCCCCCTCCCGTTTGCCCGGAAGATGGGAGGAAGCAAAAGGGAAGAAAGAAAGATGGAAGAATAATATGGATTGCATTTTGCAAAGAGGAACCAGAAGCATTTCTGGCAAATTGTTACACATCATTCTTAGGTAAGATTTTAGGTGTTTTAAAGTATTTGTTTTTGCAAACTCAAAGAGAGT